TGTTCATGGTGGAGAATCCTGCTTCACAGCGGCAGGTTGAGCCAAACATCCTCTAAATGAGCACCATTTCACTTTTCTTTCACCAGTTCACCGCAGTTCTTCCAGCAATCCACACTTTCTCTGCTCTCTTTTTCTCATCATCTTCTCCTTCTTTCCCATCGCCCGGCTTGCCACAGGTTTGCCTGCTGTGTATAAAAGTAGCAGCCGCAGCAACCCAGACTGACAGCAGCTCATTGGATCATTTGGATCACATGCAGCCTGGAGCCGGACGCTCTGGAGGTCTTTACTGTATTAACAGGAGAAGCAGCTAAACTGAAGTTAAACACTGTCGTCAGACAACATGCAGTTTGTAAATGGTTTTTAACCAGGTTGGGTCCGGATCAGCCAGCAGGTGGGTCCGGGTCCGGACCGCGGTCCACTATCCATGACGTCTGCTTTAGACGGTATGATTGGAAGTCTGTCACCTTGTCTCTGTTGCTCCACTTTGGGGAAGCCTTTCTCAGTTGAACCATCTTCAGACTGCTGTGTTTTCTCATTTGTGTAGAATCCACTGGATGTTTTGTTCTGGGTCCAAACTCCATTAAATTCATAACCAACCCCTCTGCTGCCAGTCATGACGGGCTGCCTCAATTCCAAAATACCATGACTGACTGCGCCGAAAGTTACAAAATGTGATGAAGACACCGCCCAGCATGGACCTCTTCAAAGCCCTTCCAGTTTTAGTCCCAGCAAAGGATGCTGGTGTGAGAAGCGGTACATCCAGCCTGACACCTGGGTCAGCTGAGGAATGGAACCATCTGCCCTGCAGAGAGGACGCTAGGTCCAATAGCAGCATCGCTCCTCCATCTAACCACTACCTCAGTGGATGGGGAAACTTTTCTCCCACTAAACGAAGCTGCTAACACAGTACAGACGGAGCCAGAGTGAAAACAGCATTAAAATAATGCAGATTGCTAAATTTAACATTCACCTGCTGGTTTAAGCATTTCACTGACAGGATCTTTAAATAACTGATGGCCTGAATAGATTATTACATCAGTGTGTAAACAGCTACAGTTGGTTCGCTTTTTTTATTCTCTCAAACAAGATTTTGCACAATCTTTATGTAATCCCTTGTCCCTAATTAATTTCTCAATAAATATTAATGACGTTTTATGTTCTGAAATGTTTCCTGATGAAGGGTTTATGAAGAAGACATTAAATTAAGCTTTTTCCTTTCAAATGTTCAAAACTATACCTATTTAAAAGAGATAAAAACCCATTCTTTTTGTTCTATGTTTTAATAATCTGTTTATCTAAAACTTGATCAGTAGTTGGTTGAGCTTTGTTAGCACTCTATACAACTTTATAAAGTTGTTTTTGCAAGTTTCTGTTTTCCAATTTATTTGGCTTATTTAAATTTGTTTAAAGTAGTTTGGTATCAGATAAGAATTCCAGAGGTTTGACTCTATAGTGTTTTTTACGTTGCAATACTTGATTGAGTCTCACAGAGTTCAGGCTCCCGTCAGTGAGTGTTTGAATGGTTGTTTGTCTCTGTGTTGCCCTGAAATGGACCGGAGACCTGGAAACCAGGATGGAGCCCTGCCTCTCTGTCCAGGATGGACCCCCGCCTCTCTGTCCAGGATGGACAGCCAATAAAACTGGTGAGTCCAATCGGCACGCTGATTACATTGTGTAGATTGGAGTTCCATGTTTAATAGCTGGGCATGAAAGCTACATGGCATGAGGATGACTTGATGACTCCAAATCTCCCGTCTCCCCAATGGAAACATGCACAGCTCCACTACTTCCTGCACTTGAGCTGCTCCTTTTTTCCAGCCTTTGATTACTTGACAGACTGATGAATCCAGGTGTGCCTGGCAGGTTACTAATGTCACAAACACCTGGATTCATCAGTTTGCCATTTCCCAGCTTATTCAAAGCTGGTAACTTGCTGTCAGCTGTAAATCAGATTTTATAAAACGAGGATTTAAAGGAAAGGAACACACACAAGAGGGCAACAGAGGAAAACAGAAAACTAACATAAATCTAGAAACTACAACAAAATAGGATTTAAACCAATAAAACTAGAAAACATGGAGCAAAGTAAAGCAGAACATAACCAAAACCATGACATTAGTAAGATATTAGTAAGATGTGTTTTTCTGTAGAACTTCAAATGATGCTTGTTGGACTGAATGGAAAACAACAGACCTTAGGAGGTGATTTTGGATAAGAATGATCAAAGTGGTGAGGCCAGAAAGATCAAAATAGATTGATGATTCACTGAGCAGCGGTTCACTGTTTCCTTTGGAATAGGATCTGGTCCTGGGAGTAATCTAGTGTAGAACCGGCCCTGTGGTTTTTAAATTCACGTGTTGGAATGGTTTTAGTACCTTTCCAATGAAAACATCAGACATGTGTCTGTTAGTAACAATCTCCATTTTTATGGTGGCCCCTCTAACACAGTGCCAAAGTCTTTGCTCTAACAACATGTTAATGTATAACAGCAGAGAGTAGCTCTTAAAAAAATTAACTTCAAAGACACAAGAAGTGCATCGACTAATTAGTAGGATGGAGCGCTGCCTTTCTTTTCATTTACACTGAGTTCTGCGATGCACCAAAAACAGGACTTTCTCCAAACTTGAGCTGAAACCCTCCAACAGAAGGCAAATCAGAAAGGTCTGTGATTTAAATCATCAGATTCTCAGTTTCTTCATTTTGTTTGCTGTAGGTTTATTTCTTCTTTTTATTACTATCTAAATAAAAACATTATTCATGCTGTTTTTTTAATATATTTTTCTTAAAGGAATTGTAAGAAATTATTTCACCTTTTTCTTAAGTCTAACCTATTAAATATAATAATTAGCAATGTGATTTATATTTAAACAAGTTTTTACAGTCATTATGAGATCATAGTAAAACTTTGTTGAGATATCGGCTCATAATATGGAGACATAAATGAAACTTCAAATAAGCATTCTTAGAGGGGAACGTTAGAAACGCAGCATTACTGTTTGTAAAATAAACATCAGCAACATCCAAAGCAGTCAAAGTTAATCCTCAGTGCTCGCTCCGTTTTAAGGAAACCAACGATATGCAACATTTTTCTGCATGTTGGTTAAAAATGACAAATCATAACCGGTGACTTGTCCTGAATTCTTGTCTACGATGCATCAAAAAATTCGATAACTCTCCATTCTGCCATTAACATTGATAAGCGCCATAAAGACAATACTTTGTCGTAATGATCGTGACTTTATGCTGCATTCAAGATAACCACCAATTACTGAATAACTGTGCAGGTATGGCCACTGAGCCTGTTTCCAACATGACTTTCATCATTCCTCATGCTTTGTAAAGATTTCCAGGTGAACCGGATTAAAACAGGAACCAAGACCAGAAGTGAAGAGAAGAAGAAAATGTTGAAGAGGATTAGCAGAGGGCTGTGGAACTATCGCAGGATCATCATCCTCATCCTCACCCCACTGCTGCTGCTTCCTCTTCCGCTGGTCGTCAAGACTAAGGTGATTTTCCATCCGTCACTCTTTTGCTGTAACAATCTAGAAGCAAAAGAAAACTAAGATTCTCTCCCATGAAAATACAATTAACCCCACACTGCTCCTCAGGCGCCGCACAGTGGCAGCCCACTGCTCCTTAAGGGGATGGGTTAAATACAGAGGTCAATTTCTCCAGTTTGAAATCAATGAAGCTCAATTAGTTAATTCAGAGCTGAGGAGGGGTCCGTTTGCACCTGTGGGAATCACAATCTCTGCTCTCAGTTTCTGCAACATGTGAGATTTCTGATATCTGTGGAGAGGTTAGAGCCTGGCCTACATCTGCCTGGTAAATTCAGTGGATCTATCATCATATAAAAAGCTTAAAGGACTAACATTTTTTTTTAATCAGCAAACTCATAGCTTGTTATTGGACTTTATTTAGGCTTTGTTTCCATGAGAAACAAATCTTTAAAATGTTCTCAGCAGATTTCTGTCACTATTTCCCCTCCCAGATGCTCACAAACTAGCCTCAGTCCCCACGGTCTGCCACGTCTTGTTAACGTGACCTTTCTTATCTAACGCTGGAATTCCCAGGATTTTCAGTTTCTGCCTCCATCTGCCAGAGTTGACCTCCCCACCCACTCCTTGAGGCAGGCTCCTCCCCATCCTGCTTGTTGTCGCCCCCTCTAAACGCAGCAGCCACCTTGCTAACTGTCACTACTGTAATGCAAATAACCTTTAAAAAACTATCATGACTATGCTTTTCCAAACAGGCAAGGAAGGGCCTGTTTATACATCCGATTCACGAGCAGACCAATTTATCAATGACAAATTATGCTGCAAAACTCACAATGTGAAAGAATCAGCAGCTTGGTTACAAGTTGGTATCTTATCCTAACATATTGTATCTTATTGAATCTTATTTAATCATAACATATCTTATTTTATCTTATATCATTGTATCAAAACGTAATGCATCGTATATTATGTCATTTTATCTTATCGAATCATATTTTGTCCTAACGTAACCTATCATAAAGTAACATATGTTATTGGATCGTATCATAACGTAACGTATCTGATCTATCGTAACCTATCTTATCTGATCGTAACGTATGCTACCTTATCATATCATATCTTGTCGTACCTTAATGTATCTTATTGAATCCTATCTTATCTGATCGTATTGTATCTTATAGATAAACAGCGTGAGTTCAGTGAAAGCATAACATTTATCTCATATAATGAAGAGCACTTTTTCTAAACTGTCTCCAGTATGTGAGCTGATGAAATTATAGTCCATGGTTTGTAAATCTAGCATATCTAATACCTAAATGCAGAGGATGCAACAGTAACTGGATTACTCTAGTGGTAAAAGTAACTCTTGCTGGACAAAGTAACTATTTGTGTGTCTTATTTTTATCTAACCAAGTTAGTAATTCAATCATCACATTGTAAATCCTTTTTAACAAAGTATTTCATGTATATTTTTGTATCACTTTTTATATGAAACAATACTTTTAAAAACTTTGTTTGATGTTTTTGCTTTTAGAATATCTTTCAATAGAGAACTAAGCATCCTGCGAGGCTCTGTTGAACAGTCAGCCTCTCGCTGATGAGCGCCCTGCTGATGCACACAGGCGGAGTCTCTGCAGACATGATGCGTTTGGCGCCTGTTCTATACCCCTCAGTGTATATCTTTATTCTAAAACGACCAGCGTGGTTCTTATGGCGATAGAAAGGTTGATCCGGCCTGAAATTTTCTGGAACCAGCAGCACAGGTGCAGCAGCTGGTTAGCATGCAGAAAGGAGTTTTTCAGAAAACTGAAAATCCTGGGAATTCTAGCGTCATTTATTTTTATCAGATTTCCAAAGCAATGCTTAACAAATTTTTATAAAAAAGCACACAAACGTACAGTGGGTGGGAGGAGTCAGTGGTTAAAAAATAGAACAACCAAGCCTGTGTGTTCAGTGATGGTTTGAGGGTCTTTGCTTCACACTTCCTGCGCTCCCTACCTTTGAGAGTTGCGGCGTCCTGTGCTACATGTTAGCATAGTTTAAAGTTGTAAATAGCATCTCATTAAACCTGAGGATATTTTAGCTCGCTGCTTCTACCTTTGGTGAAACTAAACCTTTGCTTGATAAATGGTTTTCCTTTAATATTGTCCCTACTACCATTTTTTTTTTAGGAAGCAGAATGTGCCTTTGTGTTGCTGCTCATGGCCGTGTTCTGGATGACAGAGGTGATCCCTTTGTCTATGACGGCCATGCTTCCCGCCATCCTCTTCCCCGCATTCGGCATCATGAAGTCGTCTCATGTGAGTGAATCCTAAAAGAAGAAACTGGATTTTAATCCTGATTATGGAACAGAGTGTAATAAAGTAAAACACTGAATAGACACCACACTTCAATTTTTCATTATCTGTAAGGTTATTTCCCAGTGCTAAGGTGGCAAAATGTCCCCATTCACAGAGCCGCCGTGTGCACGTACCGAAACAATGGCCCATATTTAACTAAATGACTTTAAAAAAGGATCTATAGGCATTTTCTTCTGAGTGCAAAGGAACCGAGCTTCCTTCATCGTCAGAGAGCTGCACTGGTTCCTCAGGACCAAGCAGCTAATTATGCTTTTTAAACAGACAAGGAAAATAGACAAAATATGATGAAAACCATGTTTAACTAACTGCGGTGGGGGGTTTGATCACTGAGCTCTTTGTGAAGTTTGCTGAAGTTATTTTTTTTAAGTTAATCCAAGATTAATGTGAAGCAAAACTGTTATTTTTAGTTAATTTTTTTAAGTTATTTTTAGTTATTTTTATCTTAAACCTAAAAGAAGAGGCTTTTTCCTCCAACTATTCCCAGCTGTGTTACTTTCCTTGTAGTTTTAAACATCAGTTATCTGGAGCAGCCAATATATATTTTAGATAACATTTCATGCTCATATGGAGAAGCTATGAAGTCTGCATGTTCCAGACTGCTGCTGATAGAAAGGGGATCAGTTGTCCAGAGACATTAGGGTCGCCCAATCACTCTGGCATTGCTTAACAATAAAGTTCACAGAGTTTAATATATTTTGTGTTTACGTAAATATGTTATGAGAATATATAAAACTGGTTTACTTTTGATGCGTCAACAGATTTACTGTTGACACATCAACAGTAAATCTGGTTTTATGATTCGGTTTTTATTAGAATTTTGAAACCATCCTGTTACTTTAAGGTGGCAAGGGAGTACTTCAAAGACTTTCACTTCCTGTTAGTGGGGGTCATCTGCCTAGCGACGTCCGTTGAGAAGTGTGGTCTTCATCGCAGGATGGCCCTGAAGCTTGTCTCTATGGTGGGGGTGAACCCTGCCTGGTGAGTACCTTTCAAGGGTGGATACATCCTCTATGTGAATAAACACATATGGGTAAAACTATTAACCTATAATCATTTTAACTGGTTAAAATATATCAAAAAAATTACATGTAAGTAAAAGACAACATGAAACATGAAAAAACATGCAGACAATGACGTTTAAACAATTAGTTTTGTTTTTGCTGTCTATGTTAAGAAAACTCTCTTTTTAAGACACCTTTACACCAAACTGACCCAGAATTAAAGTTTTATACCACCTTAAAGAATACATCTTTGTATTTCTGTCAGCTAACAGTCTGCTGACCTTCTGATTGATACAGGTACAAAGACTAGAAGGCGAATATGCAAATTTGAATACCATCCAACCTGAAACTCGTTTCCGCTGCAGTTTCTCTGTATTTTTTAGCATTTTTAAAGTGAGCTATAAACTCAAGCAAAAAGTCTGCTGTCATTTTGGCTGCAAAGGAGGAATTGGTACAATAACAGACAAAAGAATAGGAATGTGACCTTATTTGAACTTAATGGCAGAATATATTAAGCACTGAACAGATTAATGCAGCAGGACTGCAGACAATATTAACAAAAACCAAACAATACAGTGAGTGAACTCAGATACTGCATTATGTTTTGAAAGAAGTAAAACTGAACATTATTCAGCATCAGTGAACATCCATCACACCTCAGGAGTTCCAGGAAACATCACCGACTTGGCAAAAGAGATTTATTTGTTTATAATCACCATGCGTGAGTCATAGATATGTATAAGATAAGTTAAAACTTTGTTTGTTCCATGAGTGGAAAACTTTTATCATGTCATAAAAATGGACAGTAGATGATAAAAAAAAGAAAGTCCTGGCTGAGTTTCACCTTACTTTTAAAGCCACTATCAAACTGCAATTAGAAAATGTAAATCAGTAATTTAACCAAAGAAATTTGCACATAGTTTCCATTGTATACAGTCTTTGTAGATCACCTGGAACACACCTTCCTGCTGCATCCTTCATTTAGTGCTGCCTAGATAGAATCTTTGAAGCTTAGGCCCTATGAGTGCTACTGAAAGAACCACGACTCAAAGCGGAGGAACCAAGTGAAACCCGATCAGTGTTTCATCAGCGTGAGCTATAATTGTAGAGCAATGAGGATGGATGGATGGATGGATGGATGGATGGATGGATGGATGGATGGATGGATGGATGG